TGGAGTGAGGCAGGTGGATAGATCCGTCGACATGCAGCCCTGGGAGTCTCGCCAGCCAATGAAGCTCGATGGGCGCCAGACACCACGGGACCGGTCTCAGTCACGTACTTGTACATGTAGAGGATAGACTGCGCATCCTCATTCTGACGCTGGCCATCATTTGTCCATCTCATCGTTGCCGTCAGCTTCATCTCCGTCAGCAGTCGTTTGCCGTCTCCGACAAGTCATCCGAGGTCTGCTGGGCAGCCGCAGCGGAAAGTGGCTGGTGCGGGACGCATGGACAGGGATCCGCCACTGTGCGTTGGCAGAGCCGCGCGCGGTCCTGCAAGTCGAAGATGGATCGATGCCTGCGTTTTGCGTCGTGAGAAGACGACACCGATCAGCGCCATGAAATACGAGGCCGCTCGACAGTCCGCGTGGGCGACGAGCAACGAGACGGCGACAAGCAGGTAGCAGCAGCGCACGAACGAGCTCGTGTGACCGAACGGGCTGCACAGGTTGAGGCGATGCGGCGGACGAACGAGCGCAGTCCATCTCACCGCTGTGCTCCTCGCAAGTTACTGCCGTCCCCCTTCCTCTTCAATCTCTGGGCTGTGTGGGCCCGAAGGCTCGTTGGTTCGCGAGACGGAAGGCGCAGACTCGACGGTCGGTCGCTCCTGCCGTCTGAATCGCCAGCGGATGCACGACGTCGTCGAACTTTTCCTCTGCCCACCTCAACTCACCACGACAACAACTACACTCGACACATCTTGGCGATTTTTCTCACAACAACAGATTCGACAACGCATCGGTTGCATGCAGCAATTGATTGAAACGAACATCGCATCCGGTGAGTGCTCATCATTATTATTATTATTCGTGCGCAAGGCAAGCAAGATCCCAGGACACGGAGGTCCGGGCGGAGATCGGGTACAGTACCCAGCCACAGTAAAGTACTAGTCGGGCCTTGATCTGGACTGCCAGCCTTGACCTTTCCACTCTCCACGAGAGCCCGGCCACTTCCTTATCCCACCCTCCTTCGCGTTACGCGTCCATTCACTTTTGCTGGTACACAATGGCCCGCTCACTTACACTGCAATTGTCTAGCTCGAGCATCCCACCCATCCCGCTGGTAGCACGCCAAGCTGCGTGTCTCGCGCAAGCTCACCACCACCGACACCACCACCGCTCCAACCCCGTCGCTCTTGCCGCGCGGTAGCCATTGGCATCCCAGTTGTTGCGCAGACATAGCCAGCAGTACATACCATCACCTCACCCCCCATGCAAACATCGACGTACCCACACCTCTTCCCACGGCTTTGAGCAATAGCAGCCGTGTCCGCTTCAACCTCGCGCCGCTTTAACGATTCACACGATACCCACGAGCGGTATACGACTTACACGACATCTCTAATCAGACAGCAGCGCCAGGAGCCGGCTTCAGCGTACCATCAACGAGCAGGTTTACGCGATTACTCACGGCCCTCGTCATCCTCCGGCAGTGCGCATACTCTCCGCCGCACCCCGCAACTCGACGAGCTACGATCTCCTCGTCTTCGCTCCAGCTCTGTCGACTCTCCACCGCGCGGGAGAAGGACCCCCGAACCATTACCACCGCCTCGTACCCCGCCATCACCGCGTCGTGCCTCCCATCGCAAGACCAGCAGCGCTTTCTGGGCTTCCCAACCACGGCACCCGGCTCTTCGAACTTCAAAGCGCACGCACGCTGCGATCCAGTACGTGATCGAAGAGTACCTGCGACACCCCAACAACTTCACACCGGTGCTGGAGGAAGAGAACGCGCAGATGTCTGAGCTGGGAGGAGGACGCGCGTCCAATGGTGGAGCTCGCACCGGTGGGCCAGTACCGGTCTCATCTGGCACGCCGACGGGAATACGCACACCAAGAGATGTCATGAGAGACCGCAATGCACGTGAGGCGCGGAGGCAGGAAGAACAGAGGGCGGAAGAGACACAAAGATTGGCAGAGGATAGGAGAAGGAGTGCTGAGCGGAGGATTACTACCATAGGTGGAGGCGCGTCTAGGTTCGGCCAGGCATCGTCGCAGTATGCGTCCGACCCGGCCGCCCAGCAAGGCGGATTCGACGGCGCCGGGGATAGAAGAAGCGGCGTTAGAGGCTCAGTGGTCGGAGCTGATGTGCTGGGTGACCCTGTTGGTAGGACGCAGGAGTACTCGAGTGGGAAGACACCGGAGTATCCGGCCGGTAGGACCAGGGCATCGAGTGGGTCGCAGGCGCAGCCAACAAGCAGTGGAGCTCGCCGGTCACAGCAAGCGCAAGCTACACCACGACAGCCAAGCGGGCCAACCTTGGCTGGCGCTGCATCCTCCTCGCAGGCTCAACAACCTGCCGCCGAAAGCTCACAGCGTGCCACGTCATCGTCTTTTCCGCACGCCTTTGAGCGGTGGGAGACGCTGTCCTCGCATTGGGAAGGCCTCACGTCATACTGGCTGCACAAGCTGGAGTCGAATACCGAAGAGATCAAGAACACGATACCCAACGCCGCCACACTCAATCGCCAGATTACCGATCTGTCAGCTGCCGGCGCCAATCTCTTTCACGCTGTTGTTGAGCTTCAGCGGTTGCGGGCAAGTAGTGAGCGGAAGTTCCAGCGATGGTTCTTCGAGACCAGAGGGGATACCGAGCGGCAGCAGGAGATGCAAGCGCAGACCGAGAGGCAAATGAGGCTTGAGCGGAGTGCGAGGGAAGAGGCTGCCATCAAGCGAGGGGAGGCGGAGGAAGCTGCGGCTGTCGCGAGGCGAGAAGTTTCAGAAATGCGACGAGAGCTTATGATCTCAAAGGAGGAAGCTCGTCGAGCATGGGAAGAACTTGGTCGGAGAAACCAAGACGCGCTTGATGTTGCTGAGGCTCTGAAGAGTGGCCGAATTGCTCTCGTCGCTGGCGTGCAAGTAATGCCGTACAACGCCTATCCAAGCCGGACTGGTAGTGCCAGTCAGCGACCGACAACGCGCGATGGCCAGATGCAGTATGGCAGTGCCGCAGGCGCTTCGAGTGCTGGTGCCGCGGGGCTGGCAAGTCCTGGTGATGAGGCGGGGTACTACCGAGAGAGGCCGTCGCCGACGAACACGGATCCGTTCACCGAACAGCAGCAGCCATCAGCGATGCATCACGAGCAGGACAAATCGTCGCTGGCTACAGGCACCTACCGACCATATCCTGTTGGCGAAGATCCGCGTCTGGCGCAGCCCTCAGCGGCAGCAGCAATGGGTGCTCGTCAACCCGCAGCCTCGTCGCCGGAGACAGAACGCTTCTACCAACACGGTCCGGCGGAGTCCTTCTTGCACTCCCCACCAGGCTCATCGGCGGGCGGGCAGGGAGCTCCTCCACAGTTCGCACCACAAAGGCGCGAAGACGTACTTTCGGAAGCTAGTTACGTCGACACAATGAGCGAAGAAGATACCGAGTACGGCGTCGAACACGGCGGTAATGTCCGACACGACGACCGAGGCCGTCCAATCATCCTCCAGCAGCAGCGCCACAGGCCGAGCGAGGGCGAAAGCGAGGATGCCTACGATGAGGAAGCCATCAGACACGAACGCGAACTCGCCGCCCGATATGGACGGACCCAACAACAGCAGCCCCAGCACCAACAAGCGTACGCGCAGCAACCAAGCGCCCCCTCGCCAGAATCATACTACCCCTCCGGCTCCCAGCCCTTGCCACCCGCGCCCTCCGCGCCGACCACGAGCGCGCAGGTCATGGCCGCGGCAACGTATACGCCTACCACTGGCGGTGGCGGGCCGAGCGGGAGTGGAGGTGGAAGTGGACCCGATTATGAGGGTTCCGGGTACGGGGGCTGGGACGCGGTGCAGACGACGCGGCATCATCACCCGACGCGGTTGAGCGATGTGTTGGAGGAGGAGGAGGAGAGGAGTAGTCGGCGGACTGGGGGGGATTGAATGACCTTGTTCAAGATCTGATCGATGGTGGTCCGGAAGCCGGATGGCTCTAGGTGTCTGGTCTTCGTCACAAAGATGTGCACCGGACCAGGAAGCGAGTGACTGCTTGAACGCGTTCCAAGCGAGGCGTCGGCGGAGCATCCGCATCAGCATCAAAAGGCGGGCGCGAGTTCAGACGGTGTGAATATTGCTGCGTTCCGATCACTTGCTTTCACCCTCACATGGCGACGGCGATGGGCAGTGGCTGTGACTGGGCAGATCAGAACGGTGGTTACCGCAGGATCCAACGGACTGGCTGGGTTAATGTAGTAAAGATTGGACGGATGGGATTCGAATTCGATTGAGATTGTGGTACGCTCTGAGGAGGTGGTGTTGAAAATTGTGTTGCATAGCGTCGGGCCGGGGCAAGGCAGGGCATTCTGAGCGATGGAGTTTGCTGCATGGTGGTGGGGATTTTGCTTGTTGGGTTCTGTCAGGGTAGGAGTAAGAGTAGTGTGCCGTATGTTGTAGAGAGTATGTATGTCGTTGCTGTTCTTCTGTTCTTCGCCAAGAGCCCTCGTGAGGTGAAAGATGGTGGGATCTCCGCAAGGTGGCGTGGGTGGATAGTGCGACAGCGTGGAAGTGGTGGAGTGTTGGGTACAGGTGGGTGAGATAGGTATGTAGAAGAGTGCGTACAGTGATGTTCGGATGGATGGTTCTGATGTGAGGTACGCTGCGATAGGTCGCCCAGATTCAAAGGACAGGGCTTCAATTTGACAGATGATGGCTCGGCGTACACGTCAAGGGCCAAAAACGGTAGAAAGCCCACCGGCACAAGACATTCGCTAAGGTATGTAGTTACCTGATTAGCTTGAGCCGTCTACTCCCGTCGCGCATTTTGTGCATAATAGCAGTCGCTCCAGATTGCACTGCACTCCCTGCTTCAAGTATCCCTACATGTAGCTGTGCCCTCGACTCATTCCTACGTCAAGTGGTCGTACCTGGGAAGTCCAAAAAGAACATTCATTCAAAGGAGTCGTATGACCAGAATAATTCCCTTCAACGATCGTTAGTAAAGTCGACGGATGGATTGCAACGAATACCTACGGTACCGGGAGTCGAACCCGGCTCTGCCCGGGACCGACGCTCAGCTGAGAAGTCGATGAAAGCGGGCGATGCTAGCCGATACACCATACCGGATATTCAACAGCGTCATCAAAATTTTAGGTAACAAAGCTTGAAACAATGACCCGCAAGTGTACCGACGCAAAATACGACTCCACAGCTCCGAATCGAGGGTACGGTACTGAGATATGGAAATCAAGGAACTGGTTCCGCTTGTACATGTATTCACGCACAACAATGGTTGTGCGGCGGCAAGAGTCTCTGACGATGGAACGCTTGGAGGAGAGCTTCCTGGCAACTAACATGATAGCGGATGGCCTATCTGACACGCATAATGCGTTCCCGGATACGAAGGATGTGTTCTCGTGTACTCTTGTCTTCATGTCACGACGGTAGCAAGGTCCAGCATAAAGAAGGCACGTTCGTCACGTTCGTCACGACAACGAGGATGACGAGGCACCGTCGAGCGACAGCTTTGCGATATCTAGGACGTGGAGCGAATGTCTCGCGGTACCTACGAGGGTCGGGACTCTGCGAGCGGTGCGTGTCAATCGAGGACGTCGTGCAGAAAGTTTCCGTTCTAGTTGGATTAGCTTCAGCAGGACGCTGTATTGATGAAAAAGATATAGTCTTGAGAGCGTTTGGGCACATCCTCAGTGCAGCTTCACCGTGAGATTGCCCTTCCATGCTCCTCCATACGTCGCTGGTTCCAATCCCGTAATACGAAGGACATCGCCATCGTCGCAGCTCAGTCTCGCCTGTTGTGTGTTGCAAGACACTCCTCCCGAGTCTACGGAGACCCGTTGCGGCTTCCAGTCGATGCCGGCAATCGTAATGTTCGCCAATGGGATCCCGTCTTGGTAATTTCCGGAGATCGTCGCGTGAAGTGTATCGTTTGCAAACATAAACTACGAAGGCATCAGCAATGTCACCACAAGCGCTTTGATCGTCGCAAAGACCCACCTCAACGTTCTTCGTAGCTTTCGGCACCAGACTAATCCCATCGTCCAGATACAGCTCTCCCTCCGCCTTTCCATCTCCATCCAATGCCACGATCAAACTCCACGGACTCAGTCTAGACGTCTTGGTCGTGTTACCCGCCTTCTGCATCGGCACAACATACCCTCCCCGTACATGAATAGGCTGATGCACAAGCGGCGCATCCAACGTTTTGTTCTCTCCAGCCGCGACACTAACTTTCTGCAGTGTGTAGAAGTCATACCAGATCGTTCCGTCCACAGTACCTGGGAACACACCCTGCACGCTCGTCGCGAGCGGAGCAAGGACTGGGGTGACGAGGAGGGCGGGGCCGGACATGAACTGCGTCTCCACGGCTTTGAGAGAGGGGTCGTTCGGGAACTCCCACGGGAGAGCACGGAGGACGGTTTCGCCTGCGACATTGGCGCGGTGGAATAGGGTGTATGTGTACGGTAGCAGGCTGTAGCGAATGTTCATGATGCGGCGTGTGGCTTCGGCGGTCGTCGACCAGCGGTATGCCTCTTGAGCGATGGTGTTGCCTGAGAGTGTTAGCGATGTTGTTGAACAGGGTTGGACTTGCGGGTCACCATACGGTTGTTGTGGTTCCGGTACAGTGGGAACCAAGCGCTGAGTTGCATCCACCTCGTGCAGAGCTCCATGTCTGCGTTCCCATTGAAGCCACAGGTCTCCACCCCGAAATACTGCGTTGGCACTCCGTCAGCCTTTCAATACATCTCTCTTCCCATCCTCATGCTGCTGGACTCACCGGTATACCGGCAATGCTGAATTGTAGTGCCTGACTGATACCGAAGTACATGTTGCCCCACATACTGTTGGTGTCTCCGCCCCAATGCCCTTTCGCCGTTAGCCTGCCCGTTTATACTCCAGCATATTCCTACTCACCCGTGAAATTTCCACTGCCGCTGAACGTGCTTCGGTTGATAAAAAACGGGCGCTTTCCGGGGAATACAGTTTTCAGTGCATTGTATGTCGCGTTTCCACTCGTATGGCCGTACAGATTGTGGAGCTCGTACTCGGTGCTATTGTGCGGTCCATCATTGTGAGTAGCGTCCGGACTAATGACCTGCTTCTGTAGACTGTGACCGGGAAGAAAATTGTTGATGGCGTACGGCGGGTATGTCAGATTCCTGACGCCAGGCGTGGCGAGCGTGCGGCCGACGGTTGGCGTGGGCGTTACGCTTGGGGTCGGGTACATGATCGATTGACTCATCATGGCGGAAGAAGCGGAGGCGGCTTCCGTGGCGTTCGTGATGTTGAACATCTCTGGATACCGATAGTCCACAGCGACTGAAGTATTCGGATCACCCGGCAGAGCAAATGGGACGTGGATGGGATTCTCTTCTATGAGGCCTTGTCCACAGCTGCCGGTACAGAAGGATGTCGCATCGTTGACGTCCAACCAGAAACCATCATAGGCGAGTTTCTCGTGGAATGCCAGGCATTGCTCGGTCCAAAATTGCTGTGCTTGTGGTGTGATGAAGTCTGGGAACACGCTGAAGCCCGGCCACTCCACGCCGTAGTAGAAGCTATCATTCCCGTTTCGGATGTACGCTTGCAGCTCCGCGCCACGATCATAGGTCGGATATGCGTCAGAAGCGTTCGCTGGGTTCGGGACATAGATGTTGGGGTCGAGAATGGGCATGTAATACTGCCCGTTAGCATGCAATCGATCAAGGAAGTCTTTGCCAGGTCCAATATCATAGTGGCCTGGGTTGTCGGTGAAGTCTCGGTTCATCTTCAGGTAATCCAGGTCGCTCATCAATCCTTCGAGCTGAATATTTTGCGCTGCATATGCGTCGACGACGTCTTGCAGGTTCGACCAATTTTGATAGGACCATCGAACCTGCTGAAAGCCTAGATGCCAGTAGGCAGGAATGTATGGCGTACCGACGATTCCCGATTGGTATTGGCTGATGACCTCCTTGGGAGTAGATCCGGAGAGGAAGTATAGATCAAAGCTTCCTGAAAGATGTGTACGATGTCAACGGCATTCCTGAACCCATAGATAGGTACATTTGGGGCTCACCTCCGATCGTTCTGTATGTGACACGTTCGTCTCGCATCAGCCATTCTTGACCGTGCGCGTTGCGAGCGTAGACACCATGCGACATGGACGACTCGTTTCTACCGTTACCGTAGCGGGTCTCGAGGTACACGGGGTGCACGCTGTGACCATTGACATCTAGCTCTTGATCGTTGTCTACGCGCAGCATCGCTCAGAATGTATATCCCGCAGAATTGTCACTTTGAGGGCAAGGTCATACCAAGATTGTACGCATTCCAGAACGTCTGTGTGAAGTTGTTTGGGATGCGGAAGCCGCGAAGATTCTCCGCAAGCCCGTAGATATTGTATTGCGGCACCATATTGGTGACGAGCTCCAGCAACTGATCCTCGAACACAATTTTGTGCCCGTAAGTATCGAAGATGACCTCGCCAGAAACGGCGCGAGCGATTTTGAACTGGAAGCTTGGACTATTCGTCCACGTGAAAGTGAGATCGCTGCTGGCCTTGCTAGCACCGTGACCAATACCTGGCTGCGGCGTAAGACTCGGAGATAGGATGTACAAGGACTGGTTGCTCGGCGCTAGGTACTTCGGGTACATGCGCACGACAAGACGTTCCCGGCTTTGATATTGTACGGACAGCGTCAAGTCCTTCACATCGTTGCCATAGGCGTTGCATTCCTGGCCGGCGAGTGTCAGGTCTGCAGAGAGCCCGGCAGTCGTCTCTTGGACGTCCGAAGCTTTGTAGCCCGGACACACAATCTGCGCGTTCGGCGCGGTGGTGTCCACAATGTTGGGAGTGACGCTTGGCGCATAGTTGATGGAAGACGGCAGAATCGGAGTGGGTGGAAATGGGGGTGGATACTGTGGTTTTTGACCTGGGCACTGCAGTGTCAGTAGTGCTGTACTCGTGCAGTCAGTCGTAAGGTATACTGACCCGTAACGACGGCGGGAAGAACCCATGCCAGCGTCCTAGAGACACGCATATAGGGCAGCCGCCTTGCACTTGACCGCAAGAGTGGTGTGAAGTTATCTGGCGACAGACCAAAAGGGAAGATGCAGCGGATTATCAATGCAGGAACGGCATTGAATGGCGAACGATGGACGTCATGGTACAACCTTTACCTTCGAGTTGACGCAGTGGTAGCGGGGGCTTGGTACGTGTAAAAGGCTGTCTCCGCATTGAGTCTGTCAATTGCTTGGAGGACATGTGTTCAGCGTCCTGGTTTGACCAACCCAGTGCACGACCAGGTAATAAATGGTTGGGTGGTCCTTCTCGACGAGAGATTACTGTCCGACCTCGTTGCTAACCCAACCCCCCGGGCTGTTACCAGATGAAGCTTCTGGTTATGATCAGCTTCTGCACACGCCCGGCATACCCGAAGGGAGGGAGTTCCTGACAATCTTCAACGTTGTGGATCGGTTATGTGGGGTAAGGACGAAAGATCGTCTTGATCAACAGGGTACGATTTGCAGCTTGATGGGTAAATGTAGGCATCCCTGGCATGACTGGGGTAGAATATGCCAAATACTTCGTGATATTGCAAGCCTAGGCAGGCACAACGAGAGACTGTCAATCTGATCAGCGAAATGTTCCCGGGCAGAACATCGCGACAAGTCCAGAAGTCGATATCTTATTTTGTGTGTGCCTCTCTGATGCGGCAGACGTATCACAGCAACAGTGTTACCGCTCTGTCAGGATACCAGCACCAGGTGACGCCGATACAGAAATCGCAAGAGCTTCGACGGAGAAGTAGTAGAAGCTTGGCCGTTCGAATGTCGTGGCGACGTTCTGTAAGCTCATCGATCGGAAGTCATTGCATGTCTGCACTACGAGACCGTTGCACCCAATGTGCGGTGGATGGTGCTCAATCGTGAGCGGCAAAAGGTCGTACTTCGGAAATGGCATTGCGTCCAACTGTAATGTGCTCGACGCAGCTGTGAGGACTATAGCGATGCCCAGCGTCCCTAATGTCGAAGAGAAGCGGCCCGTCTACCTTTCCTGGATGCTGGGCATGTTGGGACGTGTTCAGCGCTGGGAGAGTCCCTTAGGACTCGCCGCTCATCATGCA